GTGTTTTACATTTTAAATTATGGGCAAAACTGTAGATCAAATGGAATATTCAGAGAATGCGTCATGGAATAGTAATAGCTTGTGCACAAGGCCTTCACAAGAACCAGTTAAAAAGGGCTGTTTAGCCAAAAGAGAGGAAAAATGGCATATTTGTGGCCAGCCCTTACACAACAACGGCTCGTGGAAACCAGCTGGAACATCCGTGTGAGACATGCAGGAACATCCAATGAAAAAAACTGGGAGAAAGCTTATTTATATAACCTGTGAAAGTGAAAATGAAAGAAGGAGAAGGCAGCAAATGATACGGAACAGAATTTAACAATTTTTTAAAAATATGGTTCCAGCGGAGGCCCTGTGTAATTTTGAGCGAGCTGGTCATCCATGCAGCTACGTGGGTAATGTGACGTTAGGCAATAGCCAGGCACCATAGAAATGTTATGACAGACCACAACTGGTTTGGATAACGCGCAGATTTTGCAAAGACACGGTGTATCTGGCTGCGGCCGGGGTTTAGGAACAAATTCTCCTTCGCATGGTTCCATATGCGTTTCCTGCGGCTCACCACCAGGCTGTGGGTCACAATCCCAAGGGACCCCAGCGCGCTCGGCAAAACGGGCTCCAGGTTCACTGCGCAAAAACCTGCAAACATCAATGACCAGAAACATGTTACACTTCGGAGATTTCTTTTAGTGAGAGGGAAGCATCTTTGTTCCTACTCCCATAATGTCCTTTTAGTGAAGTAAGAGTCTGGGGACAAAAATCTTAACAGTACCTTATTTTTTTCCTTAAAAATAAATAAAAAAAAAAAATAATAAAAAAAAAAACTTCACCAAGCTCTTGTTGCAGAACACATCCCAGAAGGCAGCCTAAGCCCACTGCCAGGACCGAGGCTGCACACCATTAGGCCAAAATAACTACAAGGATGTACATAAACATAGCACGCGGGGAAAAAACAGAGACGAGCGAGCTGCAGCAAATAAGCCCAGCAGGCTATCACAGCAAGTTAGACCCGTTTCAAGATGTATTGCTGTGTTTATTCATATTGCAAAAGTCTGAGGGAGCAAAGGAACGGACAGCAGTAGGGCTGCAGCCAAAAGAGACGGGGTAAGACGAACCATTTGTAAATAACAGTGAAACAAGTGAAGGGTAAAGCAAAAGCTGAGAGTCAAAAATTAATTTAACTGAAATTAGTTACTAAATTAAGACAGAAGTTCATTCTTTTTCCTTGTTTTCCTATATATTACTAGTTTTCCATCATTATTTCTCTCCGAAGCTGTGAACAAAAAGTTCTTTTTAAACCGAAAGCAACACTGCCATGAAGTCAGATGCTTTCTTGAGCTGGGGCTTTGAATAATTATCAGGTTTGCAATCAATAACATGGAGCAATCGGGTTGCCTGCCAGGTGATAGGGTTGCAAAGGCCATGCCCTCAGCTGCCGCAGGTGGAAGGAACAGCCCTGCTGCCTGCGCGGCCCCAAGACCCCAACCTCCCCTGATGCCCATGTGAGAGACGGTTCTAATATTTTCTTTTTCCACAAGCCGTTTTTATACCAAGTGACACGAATTCAACTATTTTGTGGGTATGTATCAAATAACATTTTTGCAGAAGGGCAGTATTTGAAATGGTCCATTTCAACTTCAGAATTTTTACTTTTAAATCCTAATAGTTTTAAGTCATTTTCCCTTATATGAAGGCCAAACCCATTATTTTTCTGGGGGAAGGGCAAGGGACATGATCGGACGGAGTAATTTTGAGTATTCCATTTTCAAAGGAAACGAAAAGCGGAACTTCAGAGGAGTCTTACACCAGAACTTTTTCTGTTAGCCAGCCCAGGAACAGCCTATGCAAAAGCAGCATAAAGCATGAAATTTTGAGGGTCAGGAAAAAACAAATACCTTCCTGTCCATTCAGAAAAACTCTCTGCTTTTTAGATTTCCCAAGAACTACAAACCTATTAACATTTTCCTCAAGATTAATAATTTTGTATGACAGACAAGCTCAGGTCAGAGTTTAACAGATCTCTTCAGTGAGTGGAGCAGGAGACACTGTTCTTGTTTTGTATTACTGGCACGGCTTGTAAGGTAGTTGAGCCTCAAAACAACGTACCATCTACAACATACAGTAGAGGAAAAGCATTAAGGTAATGGAAACTCAACATTTCTAATGTTCCAAACGTATAAATAGAACCCGAGTCAGTACATTAGACAATTGACTGGCTTTGCTTGAATGCACGCAGGAATAAGTGGAAACATCCTTATTTCCTATCCCAAGGGGCAATTATTTCAGAGCCTGGTTTTATGCATTAATAAAAAGCAAGATTCTATTGTCTGGTAGCTAAAATATCTCACTATATATGCTGTATAAGCAGTCCGGCAGCAGAAACAGCAGAAAACCCCAGAACTCTAGCGTCACATTCTCTAAACAAGCTCTTACCATACCTAGCATATTTCTGTGCATATATAATCAATACAAATATATAATCAGAATGCTATCTTGTCTGTGTACTTTAGAAGTGCTGTTAGTCATCACATCCTGGCTGCTCTTGTGTCTACAGGTGGCCCAAAATGCTTATTTCTTAAATGCTACAAGTGCAACAAATGCAAAGATGAGAATTTCACACCTCTTTAGGAAAGAAGGGGACTGGACTGCAACCCAAAAACCAGCTTTCCTCCCAGCTCACCACCGATACTCTTTCATTTCTTTGAGCTTCCCATCCCTTTTTCTTCTCCCTGCACACCTTCAGTAGTTTGCCTTTACCCTTTAGAGGAAAAATAATGAGAACAGAAAAAGCACTTATAAAACAAAGTACTCAGAAATGGTACATATTGCCTCTTCCCCACGTCTGTGGAAGAAACACGCTGCCACGATGTGAACCACGTTCGAACTCGCAGTTATGTCCAGTGTCATCGTTCATATCGTCTGCCCGCGCATGACGGGTTGATCAGGCGTTGAAATGCCAAGGACAGAATAAAGCCCAGGTTCACATCCTTCCTGTTTTAGAAAGCACTGAAAAAGTGGGTTGGGTTTGGTTTTTTTTTTTGCAGAAAGGTTTGTTTCATTATTTTGCATCCAAGACACCGAATGCCACTGAAAGCCCCAGATCCTGCTTCGCCACTAAAGCACAGAGCACTTCAGGGCCTTTCTGCAAAATGCCATAAACTTCCTCAAATCAGCAAAATTGGGCTGAAACCAGATGGGAGACCTATCACATTTCACACACCGGGACTTTGCAAATATTTGTCATTAGAGACAGATTATTCTAATAAAGTCAGATTCACTGAAAGACAAAGCTGGTAGGACTGATTTATTTAGAGGCAGTCTTGCAGTTTGGGTTTAAGCTACCTACTTGAAGAGGCAGCTAGCAGAATAATGACATTTTAGGAAGAAAAAAAAAAAAAAAGATTCTTGGAGATACATAATGTGTTTAATTGAAACCATTAGTTTTACTGGCAAACAGCTTCATATTTCTGTTCTATTAATCCGAACAAAGTGCTGCAATTATGACTCAATACATAATGTCCTCTAGTGCTACTCGCCCCACATTCCCCAAGTATAGAAAGAAAACAAAATTGTTTTCAGTTAACAAAACATTCCATGCTTCTATCCAGAATACTTTTATTATATGGTTATCATATACATCAGAATTATATTGGGAACATTTACAAATATGTAAAGAGAGTTCAGAACCTCCATTATTCACATACACACTAACTCACACACTCATTTTGCAGGTCTAGTCAGTTAGGTGAATGATGCACAAAATTATTGCTTTGTGAACATACACCTCAGATTAGATTTAATCTTCAGTGGCAAGAATTGAGATATTTAAAAAAAAAACAAAAACAAACAAGTCTTAAATACCCTGTATAACATACCTGTGCATAAACCTAAAGATATGTTTAGCTTACCCATTACCTTTGAAATACTTACCAAAATTAAAATTTGAAACCCATTTATAAAAAAAAAAGTATTAAAAAGTTCACCATTATTTACAAATCCGATTAAATTACACATAAATAAATATTTACATTCAACACACTGCTTCCCTTAATACACATAAAGCCTCCCTGGAAATATTTTTTGGCCTTAATAGGCAAAAAAATTTTTTTTCAAAAAAAAAAAAAGTTATGTGCCTATTCTTTCAAGTTTCCCCCCAATTTAAAAACAAGAGAATATAAATACGTGAATAAAGCTGCAATATCCTTAGACACAGAAAGTGAATTTTCTAGAAGCATTTTCATTTTGAACTATTCCTTGTTAAAAAAATATCAAGACAATATCCACCGCAGCCAACATTACTGCAGTTTTTAAAGCCTGAATATTTCCATAAAAATAAGCACATCAGATGCCATCAGATAACTTTAAAGTCTAGCAGGATTTTAGTACTCTCCTATGGTAATCTGAAAATAAAGGAAAAAAACCCCCAACAAAATAAAACAAAAAAATCCCACAGAATTATCTTACTATTTTCGGGTGTTATAAAAAAATTTAATGTACATAAATCTATATACCATTGTTTAATACTGCTTTATTGTTACTGTTGCATTTAGAGAGAATAAAACCCTGAAATTGTATCAGATAACAAACAGGCTCCCATCTAAAATCTGTATCTTAAAAACTATACACAAAGCTGGTCACCACTAGATACTTGGATGTGGAAAAGAAATCTAAATATATCTCTTTGTATGTTTCCATCCAAACCCCTTTATAGCACCACTTTTACAGCAAAGGATTTCAATACACTTGGACCAGGTACTTATCTTCCGGTAATTGCTTCCACAGATAAGGGATACTGCAGCTTTTGGAAAGACTTGTCTCATGGATCCAGGGGGAGTGAAGATCCTGAATAAGGGGATTTTTTTTTTTTTTTTCTCCTTTTTTTCCCCTCCTTTCTTAAAAAAAAAAAAAAAAAAAAAGCGCCCAAATCTCTATGTTTCCCCCAGCAAGAAGATCCCAGTCTGCGTTTAGGAGGAAGAGTTTAAAGTCTGGTTTCTCTCCTTTCACTTCCTGTGCTTATCCATTTTATCAATGGTTTTGTTGGTTTCTGCAGGGCTCTGGTCGCCAGCGTTCATGTACGTTTTGTCTGCTATTTTTAACGCTTCATTTAGGTAGTTCTGGACGGATGTCATGGCAGCGCAGATGGCAGCACTCCCAAAGCCATGTGTGATCAGGCTAAAATGAGTCAAACAGCCCTGGATGCCAGGGTCCAAGATGGGACTGGGTCTCGTGTTTCCAAGAGGAGTTCTGTCCTGAGTGAGGAGGTCTGTGAATTCCTTACAAATCTGCCTGCAAGACACAAAGCGATCACACTTTACACCATGGTGGGAATTTATGCAGAAGCAAATAAATAAATAAAAATAACAGAGAAAGTCTGCGTCAGGTATTTGGCAGTTATGTGAGAATTAAGAGTTTTCAGAAATTCATTACGCCCTCAGCAGCGTTGTCCAAAATTAAAGCCTATTCATTAGCAGCAGTTTCTGATGAACCTTCCTTCTGTCACATCTATGTCACAAACCCACGTACACTCTGCAAAATAATCGCTCCACCTCTGGGGTCTGCCTGGCTCTGCATCATGTGCTCTAGATTTTAAGGGGGGAGGCGGGAATTTAGGGCAAGTTTCTATGAGAACTTCCACAGCTGCAAGTGAAGCGATTCAGAAAGACTAAAGCAGCTGAATTGGGGATTCAATTTAGTTGTGCATATTCTATGTACGTGCCCTCTTTAATAGAGGCCCAGGCCCTGATCCTGCAAACACCAACACATATGCCTGGCAAAACATGAATGGTTAATAATGCTCAAGCATATGTTGTTTGCTGCTTGTAAATCTGTCCCCTTGATGAGATTTCACAGGAGCTGAGCAATCTTAACGGAATCATCACTTTATCAGAATTTCTCAGTCACCAACATCTTCCAAAAGATTGCTGTTATTAGTGCCAATAACAATACCAAGAATGATAACACTGAAGAGCGGAAGGGGTAGTGCTCAGTAAAAAGCGTAATGTTCAGGCTATAGGAAAGAGAGATTATATTTCTAAGAGATATTTTTTGTAAAAGAAGGTTTCTTTTTCAGGAAAAGATATATTAATTCAGCAACAGGAGTGGGCTTTGCACACCTGATCTGAGCCTAAAGTCAGGGCAACTCAGCATCTTCAGCAGGCTTTTCTCCAATGCTCTGCAGAGCAAGGGTGCCTTCAACAGCAGGGAACTGCACCAACCCCACACCAGAAAACATCTCAGACCAGAACAGATCATGAACTGGAGGCTTTGTTAAACCTTGGCCTGGGAAGGCTGCAGGGGGAAGGGGACAGCGAGCACTCCAGCCACCACTTTAAGGTAAGGAGTAACCCAACCCAGGTATTTCCTACCAGAGACCTGTTGGGTATGCAGTTTATTTTCAGGTACAAGCCTCTGCAGAACAGGCATAACAAAGCTTCTCTCCTGTACCCTTCCTTCCCCGTTCATCAAGCTCTGCGAAAGGAATTTAGTGAAGTACAGGGACTTTTCACATCTACCCAAGGTTGGCTTTCACTGAACTAGAAAAATCTTCAGCTGTAGGAGTGAAAAGGGACTACCCAGTTCTTGGCTCCTGGTGTCCCATGGGGGAAACCTGCGTGCTCCTACTGCCAAAAGCAGAGACAAGGACATGGCAGCGGGGCTTGCCTCACACCCAGCACGCCCCCCAGTAACTCTCCTTGGAGATGCCCCGCTGGGCTGCCCACACACCAAGGTGGGATGAGCCATCTCCCGCTCCCAGTCCCAACACTGGTTCACATTCCCGGGCCACACCTGCCCCCCAGGTCCTCAACCCTCTCAGATCTAGGGACTTCTTTTTCTTAGAGATACAGCTGTCCCGGGACTGGACTTTTTCCTGAAGTTTTTACTACAGTTAAAAGAAAAAAAGAACAGAACTGGTCCAAACTGCTTTGGAGTTATCGTACAGGGTGGTTGTTGTTATTATTGGTTCAGACTAAAATAACTGCTACCATAGCTGAATTCAAACCAAAACCAAATTTTAAAAAATGCTTCATTCAAACCAAAACCAAGTAAAAAGAATTGCTTCATCTCCCTGGTTAAAGTTACATATGAAAACGTACCAAACTGGCCACAGTCACAGATACTCGTGGTCAGACAAAAGCATCTTTAAAAAGGAGAAGGGGGAGGGGGGGAAAAGTCTAAGCCCAAAACTTACTTTGCAGCAAGAAGCATATTTTTCCTGTTTGCCATTTCATTGCGGCCCATGTGTGGTCTAGTTAAATATTCGGCCACTGCTTTGGAAGGAAACTCTGTCTCACAAACGTAACCAAAGTCACGAGCAAGATGTACAGCTTCACCTGGCGTGGGTAGAAGGGAACGCGTATTAAGTGTATTTACATCTATTTATTATAAGGAGAGCAGACAAATTAAGCAAAGTACTGCGAATTTTTGAAGAGTATTCTTATTTGAGAAAGGGACACTGCCATACCACTCGTTACCATTTTCTAATTAATAGATCAGTGTTTCTTTATAAGTTTGCATCAAGACAAGACAAAAAAACCACCACAAACTACATGGCAACTGTCATAAAAAAATAATTCTCTTGCCTTTATACTCAAAAGAAAAACTATCTCTGTCCAGATTAACTGTGCAAAGACCCTAGATCAAATTGTTCACTCGTATTTGAAAAACCTGGCAACTAAATTCCACTTATATATAATAAAGGGTTTATCTATTTAGTATATTTTCTAAATACTTTCTAATAAGCATTTTCATATAGAAAATAAAATTGTAAGGGGTATCATTAGGTAACTTTTTTTTCCCATTAAGGCAATTTGATCAGGCTTAAAAAAATGGATTGGCATGATCAGCACATTACTGGGAATGTACACGTGAGCACGCACACACACATGAGCTCTCTTAAACCCAACTTCCGAAGAAGAGTTTTAAATGGAAGTTGCTGTATTATTTGACCTGAGGTAGAAGTGAAGTAGCAGCAAGGTACTGTTAGATCATTTTTCACTTTGCAATTGCTGTTTCTATTCCTATTAAGTTGTACCGTTACCGGGAGCTGCTTTAAACAGAAACACAAAACATAACCATACACACACACATATATATATATATATATGTATGTATATACACCCTTCAAGTCAGCTTAACCTATAGAGGGTCTGCATAACATGTTACAGATTAAAGGGACTCCAGTTTCCTATCAGGAAGTCAAAAGCTATAAATCTCACTTTATGTGCTTGTTTATTAGAAAAGCTTCTGAGGATACCGCTGAGGTAGGGCCAGGCATTGGAGTCAGCTGCCTGGGTTTTTTTAAGTTTAGGGAATCAAACCCAGCGATGTGATGAGTTTCACCCCTTTTGCCTTCCCTGCCTGTCCCCTGCACACTCTCTTACAAAACCCGAAACAACCCAGCCCCCTTAAGAAACCCAGACCGGACAAGTGTGCATTTTGAAGAGCTTGGCACATAGGAGTTACTGCGTCCCTGCCAGCATCCTTGCGACGCAGCCATGAGGAAGAGGAGCGTTCGCTGGATTTGTGCGGGCAGGGCTCTGAGGCCAAGGGCTTCAAGACCAGATTTGAAGGGAGAAGAAGGGGAGAGGAGCCCCCCAAAGGCAACACAGCTGTTAGTCGCTGCAATGTTCCCATCATGCTCACTTCAAAATAAACAAAAACCTCTCTATTACGTTCACTGACTTCCTAGCCTTTCCACGCTTTGCCTAGAGGATAAAAGCTGTACACAAGGGGGGGGGGAAGTTTATTTTTAAGACACGTTCAAGACTGACCTTCCACCAAAGATGTCAATAGTGTCACATTTGCAGCTTTCCTCCTACCAGCGGGAAGATTCAAGCCAATTTTATCCAGTTTTTCCCTTAATGATCTGCCACCATTTTTAGATTTGGCTCTGTAATTAAAGAGGGAAAAAAAAAAAAAGCCTTATTTATCTTCAGGGAATGCTTCTTTTTAAAGATGAAAAATTCCAGTTACTGACATTCAATAGGGGGAAGATAAAAAACAGGCTCTTTTCAAGTGACCTACTTTTTAAATGCTCTACTACAAACCAGCCAGGATGAAACACAGCAGAGGTCAAAATTAAAATGTTTCAAACTGCACCATCGAAACCAGCAGCTGTAGAATGATCACAAGCCGAATTAAGTGTACACAAAAAAAGGACATATAAAGTGTCCTTGTAATGGTTAATCAAGACCACAAGATTTAATCCAAAAATCATTCCACGGGGAAACAGTTTGTCACCAGAGTAAGAAATCTCCATGAGCCGGTTTTGAGACAAAAATCCCAACTTTAAACAGAGGATGAGAATCGCTGTCAGAGCTGTTAATAGCACTTCTCGAGGAGTAGCAGAAGTGCAAAGAGGTCTTATTTCCCAAAGCCTATTAGGATTCAGTGTTGTTGGGCTTCTTAAAAATCAGAAATTCGCTGAAAGGCTTGCTTAGCTCCTCGTTGTGCTAATCTGGCTGCTCACACGGCACACAAGCATGGGGAAAAGGAAAAAAAAAACAAAAAAAAGAAAAAATCATGAACAATAGACACGGCGGGGAGGGTTGTAAGGGGGGTCTCGCATCCTACCTTCTGAGCACTCCTCCTAGCAAAGAGGCATTGAGACACTCGGGGGGCGAGAGCCGCCTCTGCACCTCTGCTACAGTCACTTTGTATTTCGACGTGGAGCTCAGGAGGGAAAGTCTCCCCGGAACAGAACAAAATACTTCATTGGGGTTTATGACCACTCCAATTAGTCCATCCTTTTGGCAGGGGAGACTCAGAGCACTGTTTTTCGTTAAGGAAATGGGACCTGCGGAAGGAGGAGGGAAAGCGGGTCTTTTATAAACGGGGAAAATAAATAGGAAGCAGCAAGTGGATTTCCTTTCTACTAGAAGAGACCGGGATACAGGATTTCGGTTTGCATTAAGTGCTCACACCACCAACCCCCGTCCCCAGCATCTGCCTCAGCACGGGGCTCGGCTGCGACCCAAGGGTGCCCCCCCCAGCAGCTCTGTCTTGCCACACTTAATTTCAGGGAGCTGCCGAACACAACTAAGAATAGTCTTTAAAAACCACACGAAGAACGCATCTCTGAAACGCATGCTGCAAGTTAGCAAATCCATGCTTATAAAAAGCCCAATACAACTACAGACTCCAAATCAGCATCCTTCAGCTACTGCCAAAAAACTCCTTCTGAGCTGGGGCAGGGAAAAGCCTCCCAGCTCCCGCCGGGGTTCATCTTCCACCTCACACACACAGATTTAAGAAACCCCCTTTGGAATTTAATCCCAAGAAATTCCTAACAGACGGCACCACAGAGAGCGGGATGCAGCCCGGAGGAGAACTGGGAGTCACACAGGGCTGGTTAACTGCCCCAGCGCTGGGGGGAACAGGGACAACAAAGGCTTTGCAAGGAGCAAACCCCCAAGCCAGCTCTTCCATCCCCTGGTGAAGCCACCCAGTTAACCCCCAGTGGTGTGCTGCCGGCTCGCCGCACTGGTCGGAAAGGGTTAAAGCGCCGAGGTCGGCCCCGCTCCCCGGAGGGGGAAAAGATTTTTTCAGTGGTGCATCTGACAGCAAAATTATTCTCCCATGAGCTAAAGGCAGCAATCAGCGCTCTGACAAACACTTCTGCTTTTCCTCAGTTAGGTATTTGTTTGAAGTCTTCAGAGGAAACTTCCACTGATTTTTTTTTTTTAAGCACAAATTTGTTTAAAAACAAAAGCAGGAGGGGAAAAAACCCCACACCACTAAATGACTGTAAATTGAGTCAATACGTCTTTCTCCTCCCTTAAAACACCGGCTACAAAACCATTTCGATTAAGATAAAGCCGAGCAGGCTCAGACCAGTGAACTCATTCCCTTCTCAAGTCTTGTAAAGAAGGCGAAAGGACGGAAAAAAGAAAAAAAAAAAAACAAACCCACACGACAGTACGAAAAAACCCACCCCAAACTGTCTTCAAGTGCTAGCAACAACAACAAATAAACCACCCAAAACCCCCCACGACAACAACAACAAAAA